TGGATTGACAGTCGACAGGCAGAGCATGGACCACTGTAGTTGAGATGGAATGAGAGCTATTGTTGGAACTGAAGATGATGTTGAATTGAAATTTGTTTTCTACCTCTTTGCCACAAGCTGACTAACAGCACTCCCTCCAGACATTTAATTGAAAACACAAATTATTTGATCTTAGAAATAAAATCAGCATGTGTTAGTCTGTTATGCTACAGCTTCCACAGAGTGGTATCACATGCTGCTTAGTGAATACCTGCTTCTAGTAGGTCATCTGCTTAATAATCATTTAAAAATGATTTATGTTATGTTTAAATGCCCTGTGAGAGAAAAGAAGGCGCATTTACTCAAATGCGGAACAAAACAAACATCTAACATAACCTAATTTATTTAATTGTATCGTTTCATTGTATCATTTCTCTTTCAGACAGAATTTTAATGTAACTTCAGGTTAACCTGGTTACAATATTTAAAATAAAATGAGCAAGTTGCAGCAGAATTAAATCTATAACTACTGGGTTTAAAAAATAATATATTTATAATATATTTTGTATTATTACTGTAGTTTTTACTATTATCCAACCACCATAACAACCTGTCTGTTTTCCACATTCTCTATGTGTACGGCAGCTCATACCAGAGGTGATTTGTCAGAAATTCTTAAAGGAACACTCTAGACCCCTTAAGCACTTTAGATTGCTGAAATGCCTTATGTGTGAAGAGTGTGTCACCTTTTTTCATTTTAAAAAAAGTGCAGATTTTAGCACTTTTATAAAGTAACCTTGTTACATCCCCGTGGCTGTCAATCAGACAACTGGCCCTGTTATTTCCTGGTTTAGTTAGCTTAGTGAAGATAAACTCAGGAGTCAAGCAATTGCCCGGGACACCTGCCTTGAAAAGACTTCTCATTGAGCTACATTGGGAAGTCTGTGATTGGACAGCCACAGAAAATCTGGGCGGAGTTAGAAGGGGAGGGCTTACAAAGACTTGGTACAAGAGATCAGCAGCGTTTGCAAGTAGTTTTTAGATATACTAACAATGAAAAATAGATAAAATAGATTAAATTCATGCTTGTTCTCATTTGGGGTATATCTTTTAAACAATGATTTCTAGTATTTTGGGGTTTGGGTAGTATCCCTTTTATCTCTCCATTACACATACAAGCCTTACGTGGCATTTGTCGTCAAATCAAATGTATACCATGTACGTCTCGTTCATTGGTTTCAAATCTACACATTAGTCTTCGTGTCTCGCTTCATTCATGAAAAACATGATTACAGATCATAAACTAAATAGTTGCAAATAATCAGCAATTTCCCTTATGTTTAATATCATTTGTGCATAATTGAAAAACAATGATCAATATTAAGGTGTGCACAAAGATTTGGGACCAAAAAGGCTGCACCAAGCAATTCTGACTACTTTCCTTTTTACCACACGACACCACGGACAGTGCATTCCAAGACTCTTCTGTAGCGGAGGTGAAGGAATAACCTAGAGTAAAGATTACATTTTTTATTTTCGGGACCTCTTATGTCTGGATTATCCATTCCTATTTTTGAGGAAATAAATAAAATAAAAAAGTAACCTTACAAGCAAACAAATACAAATTGACTTTTATACTAGATCTCATATAGCAATGTGTGTATCTATGTTTGGTTACATTCTCATTGTATAAACGATGATTGACTGTGCTTTCTCATACTGCTTATTATGCATTTTCATACCTATTTATTTTATGTTTTTGCAAAAATGTCAATAAACTTTTTATTGGGAAAAAAAAGAAAATATATTTATAATGACAACAGTCCATTGACTAGAATAGCATTGTCTTTATTATATATATTATAAAACTAGATATCGGATGCTCACACAACAAAGGTATGTTGCAGAAAAAAATATATATATTTAAGCTCGTTATACTTAACATATTTTATGTATTGTTCCTCTTTAGTAAACATTTTTTAATATTTTTTGACCTACTTTAATACCTTTGCATAAATATATATATCATCCAGCAAAATAGTAGCACTCTAGGATTTCCAATACATCTTCTTTTTATTTTAGAGTAATCAACGTTTCAGTTCCCAATTGGAACTTTCCTCAGGACAGGATGTTCTCTATAGTGTTCCTGAGCACCGGTTAATGTTACTATCATTTGTTAAAAGTTGGAATGCAACAGCTAAGGATTTTCTATATTTATATAAATATATCCTTGTATCATGAATCCAATTTAATGTCTTTATGTAAAAATGCGTGCTGTTTCATTTTAAATATGCTGCAGTACAATTCTATTAATTATAATCTGAATAATTATAATACTAATATTAATATACCTAAAGACATTTAATTGGATTCATGATACAAGGACGAGTGCACACAATTTGCTCTGAATAATTAACACATTATTTGTAAGTTTATGGCAATATTTGTCACATTACTTGTTTTCCATGAGAGAAGGATGTAGCAAAATGAGTCAACTGTAGGAAGGTCTAAGACTTGAGCTAACAGAATAGGGTTATGCTAGGTGATGGGTTGAGATGAGAGGAGAATTTCCAAAATAATACAGTAGCAGTGAGTTTCTTCAAACTATCGCCATAAAGAGAGCTGTCTTGGAATATTGTGACATAACAACTATGCTCATTTTCATTGTTACATATCTTTTCCTCTGATTTTTAGTGGTTTATCTACATCAAGCATGTCAAACTCACGGCCCTCATGCGACCCACAAGGACCATCTTTGCGGCCCGGCAAGCCGCGAGTACATGCTGGTGTTATAGCAGAGTAGGCACCTGTTTTACCCATATTGCAGGTGCCTACTCTGCTAACACTTACCCGGCCAGGGAGTAGAGCCAGTGAGGGAGATCAGTGTTCCTGCTCCTCACTGCTCCCTCGCGCAGTTTAGTGAAGTCGGGAGCCAGAATATGACGTCATATTCCGGCACCCAGCATCACTAAATGGTGAAGGAGCAGTGAGGAGCAGGAAGGAGATCTCCAGATAGAAGATCCCCACACCAGCTCCCAAAGGTAGGTGTAATAAACGTTTAACTCGCAAGTTGGAATAAACTTGGAATTAATAATAACATTAATAACTAAAAATAATAACTTAAAATAATAACTTAAAAACCGAGTGTAAAGTCAGAGTCCACACTCCTTGCTTTCGGCAATTCAATAATATTTATTAATAAAGGCTAATCAAACAAATAAACAATACATATACATTTGAAATAGGCTAGTATATGTTGCTACTAAAACTAATCATTGACTGAATGGAAAGTAGGCTAAATTAACATAGTAAAACAGACATAGACACGTGATACAGTTACCACTCCATTGATCAGCAGCTGAGAGTAAGAGAGAGGGTGTGTACAGTGGGGAGAGGGGAGAGAGGAGAGAGAAGGTGAAGAGAGGTAATTCAAAGAGAGAGAGAATGTGCTATTCACAGGGCTTTAAACAGGTTAGCCCCTCCTTCTGCTGGACACACCTCCCTTAGTCAATCCCTTAGGATGTAACAGAACCAGAGTGTCTCCTGGGGGAAGGGGGATTGCATTGGAAGGGAATGGAGGAGGAGTTTATCAACAACCCAACTGATTTTGCCTGGTGAAAGGCCATGTGCTTCACAGAGGACTCCATTATTGCCTAAGGGTAGAATGGGGGCTTGAATCCCTGTATTAGAACACAATAACACTTCATTGGCATACAGTTTGGCTGTTAATCACATCCCCCCACTTATTACATCCCTCCTATTGGCAATGAAGTGGATGAGACACTTAGACTCTATAAAACCCACCAGAGATAAGAGAGAGAGATAATGCATCCTGCAGTGTATCTACTTATGTGAATGCACAACCCATTGTCACAATAGAGCTCTTTCCATTTACATATCATATTGGAGATGATATACTGTGGCAATCAATGACTTCAAGTAACAACACATACCAACCTGATTAAAAATGCATACTACAGAAAACACACAATACAATAATAAATGGGTGAATTAACAATACATTTTCCACGGCAGTACCCCATGATGATTGGTTTCGGAAGTGAGTTTTTTTTTTTTATTTCTTCCACCAGGTAGTACTAACCATGTCAGTACTACTAAATGTTCAGTTACTTAAAGTTCTTGTTGTTGATGAAAGAACTCAGCACAGGTTTGTTGATCCTTCTGTGTCCAATCCTCCATTAAAGTATTGATAGTTCTCTGAATTTAACACCCTCAGACTGGAGTGTTGCAGTCATACTATATATCAATTATATTTACAAAACCCAACCCAGTACCCACACCTCCCAGAACCGTACCCAAGACAACCCTCCTATTCCTAGTTCTACTTCTTGTCACCCATCTGACTAAAACCTTATTAATAGTGGATGTGACCCTAGAACAGTTCTGAAAGTGTGATGAAACTAGCCAATCTGTTAGTCGAATCAATTGGAAAGTAACATTCCTAACTATAGGGGTAGGTCTCAGTGAACATATTTGGAAATTACCACTAGAGACCACTCTAATCCTCTGACACTCAGGTCTGCTCCCATTATCCATTAGTGAAGGAGTTGTGTGAATATAGGTGAAAGGAGGAGTCAGGATTATAGGCTTTATCTCTTCCTCTACATTCAACAAGACCTTCACTTCCCCACCCTTATTGTGTCCTACTGTTCCCCAATTTATCCCCTTTATGATTAATGTATCCACTATAATTAGTGTTATATGATACTCTCTAAGATTGCTGTTAACATTATAACTAGGGTTAGTAACATTTCATAACATTTCATTTCATATTAATATTTCCTCCCTCCAGATCTACAACCAATTTTCCAACCAGTCCATATTCATTCCCATTTTCCCCAACCAGTCCATATTCATTCCCATTTTCCTCAACCAGTCCATATACATTCCCATTTTCCTCAACCAGTCCATATACATTCCCAATGTTCTTAATTTCCCTTATTGTCTTTTCCAAAATCCCTTGAAAGAATCATGTTGCTTTAGCCAAACAATCTTGACCGCCCACCCAAAATTAAATGTCACATCTACATATGGAACTTGTAGATTGTCACTGCTGTCCTCTGTTAAGTCTTTGGTAGATCGAGCTGCATTTGCATAGATACAGCTGTTGTTGCTTTGGCCTGTGATAAGCTGTTCCATCAATTTCCAGGTGAGTTTTAGCATGTTGAGTAACATCCATGTCTCGGTATTTTTGGAAAAATCTGTAAGAGATCAAGAAGGCGTATCAGTTCTTAGCAGATAACTCTGTACCTGGGGAACAAGCCCCTTTATATAATTTACGTTGGTCTACATGGACTGACTTATAGGATTACATAGGGCTCTTCCCAATTTGCATTCCAGGGATAATTTTGATAAAATGTTTAATCTTTATTACGCCTACCCCCCCTTTCTCAAACAGAGTTTGAGGAGTAGATACAATTTTACAATTTGTTGGGGCCATATATGAGACCCCCCTTGGACAGTGTAAGTGCACCTATGAAATCATTCTGTATTGACTTCCAGGGGCTGTCTGCAACTGGCACTCTCTGATGCATAGGCCTTTGTTGCTTAGGGCATGGATATACTTTAACATAATAACCCTTCTTTTATAGAATGACCACTTTGAAGTTTTTGATGGTTCTGTAATAAAAGAGAAAGATTAGAATTCCTATTCAGTTCTGCTTTTAAATCTGGCACTTCTGAACCTTGATCAACAATCTTGGCTATCCGTAATTAGTTCTTTGCATGTGAAGTGCTCCTCCCATGCTTGTTGTACCTCAGGGTCTTTTACATGTAAATGCCATTGATCTCCATCTAAGACAGCCTCCTTTGCTAACAAATTCAATTGTACATTTGAATGAGTGTTTACTGCTGACTGGAGGGGTGCTTTAGTCCCCATCCAACCAGTTTCCCAAGATTCCATAGGGATAGACAGTTTGATCTGGTGGCACAAGCAATGTCACTATGCATACAAATAGGGCGTGTGCAAAATTCCTTTGAAAAAAATTACAAGTCCCAAAAAATTTCTTCAAGGATTGTTTGTTAAAAGGTCTGGGGACTTGTAAGATTGCTATCACTCTTTAATTGGGCAGCTGTGATAGCTACTCCCAAAAATTTTACCTTTTGTGTGAGCAACCTTTGAAGTGTTTAGCTTGACTCCAGCATTATGCAATTAAGTAAAAAAAAAAATTCCATTAATAAATTCATATGTTATTGTTTTGCCCCAGAAGGGAGACTTAGTGATAGGTCAGTAAGTCTCACTGAAGCTCCTGTGTTAGTCCAATTCTTAGTCTGTTGCCTTGCCATAATTTCATTCACGTAAGGGCGTCCTGCATGGTCCATAAATGTGTTACAAATAGGAACCATGCCATCCAGTTATAGTTATTCCAAAAATGAAATCAGAGGAACTTCACCCTCTTCATTCATTTTAGAATTGCTAGTCACTGTTCCCTGTACAGTCATCATTCTCAGAGCCTCCTGCGCAGGACCGTATAGATTGGTCTTAGGCAGGGGGTGAGAATGGCGTCCCTGACCTGTTTTATCCGGGGGTTTATTTCGGTCAATCTTTTCATATACATTTTGACCTATTCTTTCTTTGAAAGGCCCAGAGGGATAAGCATGCCATCCCTCAGTCATCCTTTGATCTATCTTTGCCTTTCTACAATCTTTTTGTCTATGACCACTTTTGTTGCAATAATAACAAGTACCTCTGAATGGAATCTCTGGGAGAGCTTGCCTCCCTTCATTAGTAGCCATAATTGCCACCTTGTGGTGTAATGTAACACCTTTCCTAATTAAATTTTGTCTAGCTTTTCCTATAATAGTTAGAACTCCTTCCAGAGTGTCTTTTTCCTCTGCTATCATTTGCACTCCGGGATCTAAATAAGTGAATTTTTTTATCAGGTATTGCAGTAAATCAGGAGGGGTTTGGTCTTGTGGTATACGGTGGGTTAATCTGTACACTTGTTCAAATTTAGATGCAAAAACCCAAGGATCATCCTGTAAGTGTACCTTCATTTCAGCGAGTGAATGACTGTCTAAATCTCTTTCTCCGGTAATCAATTTGGAGATTGCTCTAAGTCTGTCTCCTTCTGTCCCCCATTTGTCCTCTTTGAACCAATCTTGATCCCGATTAATGGGCCCATTTATGGGGGAATTTAATCTGCATGCAATGCTGCTTGGTGCCCACATTTTAAGCATAATACATGCCTCTTTAGGAGAGAGCATATATTGTTTGACTGCAGATTCAAAGTTGGACATATTCGAAATTACATCTATTTTGCAGTCATATGGGGGAAAAAGGGATCTTAACTTAACAAGCTGTTTCATTACTTTATCCCTATCTTGCTGCTGTATAATTTTAGCAGTCTGCAGGGTGGCAGATGCCCTGCTTTTAACACTTGGTGTAATGGACAAAGGGTCCCTAAAAGGTGATGCTGTTGGTTTAGTTATATGGGGGGTTAATACTGGAATACCACTAATATCAAACCCATCCAGTACAAGGTTTCCCCTGTTTACCCCTTGGTCCTCATTTTCTGCAATACCAGATGCCTCTTCTTCCTCTGCACACATATTCCCATGGCCACATACAGCAACTGGGGTTTGCGCAGCTAAACCTGTTCTAAGCGATGAAATTAGCTCTCCTCTCGCTTCATAATTATCCTCTAATGTATTTACATATTCTGCATTTAAGCCACAAGTTGGACAATCACTATATTTCTGAGTACTACTTTGTATACAAGCCACAGTAGTGTGCCCCAGAAGTATCCGATTTAATTGATTTCTTAATAACAGCAACAATTTCATGCAATTTTGGATTTTCTGTTTATCCTTATTCAAACACCATTTTTTATTATCTACTCTCACGTTCTCTTTTTCGCATTGTAACCACATACTATGCATTTTCTTAAATTCATTTTCAAACATTAGTGGATCAAAACTGCTAGACGCTGCATACTCTGCTACAATTTCCATTCTTAAAATAAAGTCAAAAGTACTTACACGATTTGTGTCTTCAGACTGCAGGCAAATCAAATGGTGTGCACCCCACTTTGAATCCTTGGTCTGGCTATCTCCGATCCTCCAGAAGTGATGGCCGGCTTACAAACTGCGTCTCACTCTGGTTGCCTCTGTAGGATCCCGCACGTCCTGGCCCTGGACGTATTGCCGAAAACGCTCACAAAAAATAAAACAAAAATTGGTTCGGTTATTTTGTCCCCTTTTATAGCTCACATGTATCTGGAGAAGACTGGATTGTTCCCCCCTTGCAAGTGAGCTTAAAAGGTGGTAGAAAATAATAACATGGCTCGCCAAATGTAATAAACGTTTAACTCGCAAGTTGGAATAAACTTGGAATTAATAATAACATTAATAACTAAAAATAATAACTTAAAATAATAACTTAAAAACCGAGTGTAAAGTCAGAGTCCACACTCCTTGCTTTCGGCAATTCAATAATATTTATTAATAAAGGCTTAATCAAACAAATAAACAATACATATACATTTGAAATAGGCTAGTATATGTTGCTACTAAAACTAATCATTGACTGAATGGAAAGTAGGCTAAATTAACATAGTAAAACAGACATAGACACGTGATACAGTTACCACTCCATTGATCAGCAGCTGAGAGTAAGAGAGAGGGTGTGTACAGTGGGGAGAGGGGAGAGAGGAGAGAGAAGGTGAAGAGAGGTAATTCAAAGAGAGAGAGAATGTGCTATTCACAGGGCTTTAAACAGGTTAGCCCCTCCTTCTGCTGGACACACCTCCCTTAGTCAATCCCTTAGGATGTAACAGAACCAGAGTGTCTCCTGGGGAAAGGGGGATTGCATTGGAAGGGAATGGAGGAGGAGTTTATCAACAACCCAACTGATTTTGCCTTGTGAAAGGCCATGTGCTGCACAGAGGACTCCATTATTGCCTAAGGGTAGAATGGGGGCTTGAATCCCTGTATTAGAACACAATAACACTTCATTGGCATACAGTTTGGCTGTTAATCACATCCCCCCACTTATTACAGTAGGGAACAATAAATTAAATGATGTGAGTGCAAGAATGTGTAAAAGATGTCTGTGTGTGTGTCTGTCAGTGAGTATGTGTGTGAGTTGTGACGAGACCAATCTCGCCACATTGCATTGGAGAAGCCTGGTTGCTCGCCTGCTGCCTTTGGACTATGGCCCCCTGTTAAAAGACATCTTTTTTTACCTGCAGAAAAGCTTCATTCGTGCTTTTCTGCCTGGGGTTCGGTAGATTTGTTTGAATGTGTTACACCCCAGATAGGAATCCCATGGAGCCCATTCGTATGAAACTGACTGTAAAGACTTTGGCTCCATGGCGATTAAACTGTATTCGTGTGGTCTGAGCGCCATTCACTTAATAATGTGCGCTCAGACCTGAGCTATCTGGGGATATGTGAAATGTCTGTGTTTTATGTATAAAAGGTGACTTTATGTATTTTAAAGTGTTTTGTGTCTTTTGCAACCATGTGCTTAATGGAGTCTTGTGTCTGTCCTGGGAGATAATTGAATTACTTATCTCCAGGATAGAAGACTCTGAAACTGGTTTAGGCCAGAAAGCCATGCTTCATTTAGTCACAAAGGACTTTTTACTAACTTTTGAACCCCTTGTCTGATTTGTGCCATTTTTGAATATGTTGTTCCCCTGAATGGATTGATTGCGAATATGTAATTTTATGTGAATGTGATGTATGGTTTTGGAGTTATGAAAGTTGGGTAGAAAGTATGTTTTAACTGTATATGTGTAATTGAGTTTCCTCTCAGGATAAGGGAGGGAATATGTGGGATGTAACTGTGATGTGATTGGTTGTTTTATACCTCCCTGTGGGCGGTCCTGTATTTGCAAGACTGTAATAAAAACCAGGCTGGGTGTGCCAGCACCTCAGACCACTGCTTGACCCTCAACACGGAGCCTTGTCTCGTTCTTGGGGGATTCACTGTATGCTGTTAGAGACTGATTGCCAGGAGTGTAAGCTGATTGTCTGCTTTTCCTGTTCGTCTGCTAGCAGCTATTTGGGAGGTTCCAGTTCGGGAGTTGGAGTGCTATTTTGTATCCAGTTCAGGAGTTTGGTGTTCTGCAGTAGCTGTGCCTGCATCTCTGGAAAGGGGGCCGATCGCCTAAACGGTTTTTACCCCTTGTGTGCAAAACGGTCCGTTACAATTGGTGGCAAGCGGCGGGATCGTTCCCACAGACAACAGGACAGCTACAGGAGACACCATTTCTTTGGATTTACAAGTGGGGGCAACGCATGTCCCAGTACAGCGACCCTAAAAGCAACAGAATGGAACAAGGAGTGTTATACAAGGAGGAGGACCTGGATGGCCGGGATGCATTAAGGAAAGGCATCTGGTACCAGGCCAGGATAATGTACATTACCAGCGGGGTGAGAGTCTCCCCAGTGAAGAGCAGCGGTTGCAGAAGCAAGTGGCCCTGCGGATGCCCTTCCTGGGAGAGCAGCCCCTGGAGGAATGGGTGAAGGAACTAGAGCATCGGGTATGGCAGGAGCTATGGCTGGAGGATGCCTACCAGGCGCTCTGGTGGTATATGGCACAGTATATACCCTGGACAGCTGAGCATGACATGCCAGAGGGAGAGGAGTTTGATGGTCCTGGCTTGTTATGGGAGTCCTTTGCAGAGCCTGACTTCGGGAGCCCTGCGCAGAACAGACTTAAGGAAATTTTCTACGAGAGGGAGGCTAGGCATGACTGGGATGACCCCCATGAGGTAGAGCAAGACCTGGCTCACCTAGCAACCCTGGAGTGGGAACTGGAGCAGGACTACCGAGATCTCTTCCACTCCATTAGGAAGGCTCCGCAGGACAGCATAGTGACAGATCCAGTCTCAGACCCATTCAGCTGGGAAGATATTGTTGAAATTTACTGGGAGGAACCCCAGGCGGCAGGTGGAGAGGGGACCGAGGTCTCTCCACCGGTACTGCAGGGAATTGGGAGCCCGAGCTCCATTCCCCAGCGGGAGATATTGCAGGGAATTGGGAGCCCAAGCTCCATTCCCCAGCGGCAGTGTGATATGCAGGAAATTGGGAGCCCAGTCTCCATTCCCCAGCAGCAGTGTGATATGCAGGGAATTGGGAGCCCAGTCTCCATTCCCCAGTGGCAGTGTGATATGCCGGGAATTGGGAGCCCAGTCTCCATTCCCCAGCGGCAGTGTAAAGTGCAGGGAGAGGAGAGCAGCGTCCTCCCTCCCCAGCGGCAGGCTGAGTTACAGGGGGCAGAGGTAGTTGTTCCTGCCCCCAGCAGCAGAGTGATATGCCGGGAAGGCAGTGTGAAGTGCAGGGAGAGGAGAGCAGCGTCCTCCCTCCCCAGCGGCAGGCTGAGTTACAGGGGGCAGAGGTAGTTGTTCCTGCCCCCAAGCAGCAGAGTGATATGCCGGGAAGGCAGTGTAAAGTGCAGGGAGAGGAGAGCAGCATCCTCCCTCCCCAGCGGCAGGCTGAGCTACAGGGGGCAGAGGTAGTTGTTCCTGCCCCCCAGCAGCAGCGTGATTTTTTGGGAATTGGGAGCCCAGTCCCCATTCCCCAGCGGCCGAGTGATGTGCCGGGAATTGGGAGCCCAGTCTCCATTCCCCAGCGGGAGATACAGCAGGGAATTGGGAGCCCAGTCTCCATTCCCCAGCGGCAGAGTGTCCTACCGGGAATAGAGAGCGCAGTCTCCTTTCCCCAGCAGCAGGACACTGTATTGGGAGCGGAGACAGTCGGTCTCCTTCCACAGAGGATGAAAGTATGTATGGGAGAGGAGCTTGCTACCACCTCTCCCCAGCAGCGGATCATTAATGGGCAGGGAATAGAGAGCTCAGTCTCCTTTCCCCAGCGGCAGAGTGTTCTATTGGGAGAGGAGCCTGTTACCCCCTCTCCCCAGCGACAGCTTAGAGTATCCAAAGAGGAGACAGTCGGTCTCCCCCTCCAGCAGCAGAGCTGTGTAACCAAAGGGGAGACAGTCGGTCTCCAGCAGCAGAGCTGTGTAACCAAAGGGGAGACAGTCGGTCTCCAGCAGCAGGACTGTGTATCTAAAGGGGAGACAGTCGGTCTCCCCCTCCAACAACCAGGCTTCAACCAGGCTACCCTCCCAGTAGCGCTGGCAACAGGGCAGAGTGCCGCTGGTCTCTGCCCATGCAGCAACCCACCCAGTCAGTGTACCCGTACCCAGCACAGCTGTGGTGAGGCACCTGGACATGGACAAGCTTCTCCTTTACCCAGGTGTAGTAACCATTTATTGTGGGTGGGCTGTGCTGTTGATTATGTTTTGTGGGTGGGCTGCTGGACTAGCAAGGGCACTGACCGGCAGGAGGTCAGATACCCTGTTAGTCTGTTTGGAAAAGGGGAGAGATGTGACGAGACCAATCTCGCCACATTGCATTGGAGAAGCCTGGTTGCTCGCCTGCTGCCTTTGGACTATAGCCCCATTAAAGACATCTTTTTACCTGCAGAAAAGCTTCATTAGGTGCTTTTTCTGCCTGTAAGAACAATTAGATTTGTTTGAATGTATTTTTACCCCAGATAAGGTCAACCAGGCCATTCGTATGAAACTGACTGTAAGACTTTGGCTCATGGCGATTAAGCATATTACGTGTGGTCTGGCGCCATTAAACTAATAATGTCTTTCGGACCTGAAAACTATATCTGGGGATATGTGAAATGTCTGTGTTTTATGTATAAATGTGACTTTATGTATTTTAAAGTCTTTTGTGTCTCTTTGCAACCATGTGCTTAATGGAGTCTTGTGTCTGTCCTGGGAGATAATTGAATTACTTATCTCCAGGATAGAAGACTCTGAAACTGGTTTGGGCCAGAAAGCCATGCTTCATTTAGTCACAAAGGACTTTTTACTAACTTTGAACCCCTTGTCTGATTTGTGCCATTTTTGAATATGTTGTTCCCCTGAATGGATTGATTGAGAATATGTAATTTTATGTGAATGTGATGTATGGTTTTGGAGTTATGAAAGTTGGGTAGAAAGTATGTTTTAACTGTTTGTATAATTGAGTTTTCCTCTCAGGATAAGGG